ACTTCTTCATATGTCTAATATTAGAGTTGACTTTTCATTCAGGAAGTATGACGCTGCGCTGTCAGTACGCTTCTCCCTGTTTGTGATTGGTCAAATGTTGCTAGCCCCGCCCCTTTCATGTGAACGCGCACTCAGCCGGACAGAGAAACCCTGGCTTGACTTACCGAGTTGATAACCAGCGTCGTAGGACCACTTAGCGAGAGCGCGTTTGTTTTGGATTAGGTAAGCCGGGTAACTCAAACATATCCAGGGTATGTTGAACTGGATTCGTAGTACAGGCCTGGCATGGTTTGCCCTCCTGTGTTCCCGGTTTGTTTTTGTTTTGTTTGTTACTTTTTCTTTTGTTCCCCCTTGCCTGCTCCGTAGCTTTTTGTGTGTCGAACCAGCTTTTTATTTAATAAAAGCTCACCTTCATTTACATCCCCTGACCAGCCCTGTTTGTACTGCTTTTAGGTCCGCATACAAACCGTGACAATGTCATGATCGCCAGCTGGAGCTTGTTGTATTTATTCACCACTATATCACTTTCATGGTGTGTTTCTGTTCTCACTGCCTGTACGTACCTTCTGCATCGCAGAAGAAAGCATGTCGGTGCCTTTGTGGATGGGGACCTGCACCGAACCCAGGAATCGCACCAGGAACTTCTCTATCGAGCTATCCTTCGCAGCTATGGGAACAAAATAATAATAATAGCATCAACTTAAATAATGACAAGCCGATTGTGTCAGAAAATAAGTAGTGAGTGGAAAGTGAGAAAAGAAAATCATGTTGAAAATAAACTGGTGTTATACTCATTCTGGCCACAACAGGTTAAAGTGCACCACTACCTAACATTTAAAAAAAAGGTTCAAAGTATTCATGTTTTCTTCAAGCTGAGTATTAATTTCTCCATACACTGTAAACACAAGGAATATACAGTATATTTTATGTTAGCTAGTTTTGTTTCTTTAAATGTGTTACAATCAGCTGGCAATGTATTTGAACCATCACTAATGTGCCAACATACACTGAACATTTTGATCAGACTTTAATAGAACACTAGATGTTTTTTTCTCACTTGTCTCTCTGCTATTCAGTTTTTGTATTTTAGATTTCTGTTGCAATGGACCTTGGATAGTGTTTGTGGGCAGCCTGACGGCGTAGAAGGCAGGGAAGATGCCGGTAGCCCCGGTCCTCATGTTGTAGCCCTGACACCACAGGTCCTCAGACTGCTTCAGCAGCAGCACCGGGTCATCCGTTTCTAGGTACAGCTCATCTGAATGACGAGGGACAAACCTAAAGAAAGGAAAGAGAGTATACAGAATTCAGTCTCTGTGTTGATTTGGACATGTCACAGTTCATTTGTATATGAGTATAAGTTTTGACCTGTAGGCAGCTCTGTGGCTCTGTTGTCTCTCCACTCCATCCAAAACACAGGAGAATACACCAAAGGAGCCAGCACCTGAGTGATACAGCAGCCAAGTTACATTCATAACAGCTTACTTGGGAATGGAGAGCACAATTTGGCCACCGTGACTACGTTTTTAGCTTTATGTGTAGGACACCTTCACTGAGGCTGAGTACACCTTCACCTTTTTCATATTAATGATATCCTCATTTTGTTATGGATTTGACTCAATTGTCAAAAATGGCCATCAAATATTTGTTTGAATGTTTCATTTTCTCCAACATACTGTAGTGATATATTTTCATCATTAGTTATTTAGCACAGAAAAGTATTATTCCACCTAATCTTTATTATTCTATTCTTCTTCTTTTTGTTATTGCTTTCTGGAGCTAGGCAAAACAAATTATCAGTAAATATATGTTAGGGCCGGTCACGTGATGCATTCAGATTTAGAGGTACGTTTTCGCCGTGCTCCAGCCTCAAGGTGTCACGATCTGTCTGTGTTGTGTTTTGTCTTTTTCTGTCTTTGGTTTCATGTTTTATTTTGAAAAGTCTTCACCCCCTGTCTTGCCTGTCGCTTTCTGTCTGTTTTCCCTCCTACCCGATTACCCGATTGTGTTCACCTGGTGCCCCTGTGTTTTCTCCTCCCTCCTCACCTGTGTCTTGCTTGTGTGATTAGTCTTGTGTGTATTTAAGTTCTGGTTTTTCTGTCTGTCATTGTTGGTTCATTGTTTGTCGTTGACTTTGTTCACGAGGTAGTGTTCTGTTTGTTCCTGAAATCCTTGAAATAAAGGTATTTTTCTGTTTATTCTGCATTTGGGTCCTGCCTAGTGATGGGATAATGATACCTCAAGGAGTGTATTGACACACTATACAAACTGTGTCGGCACTGTATTGATACTGCGCCGGTCACCCAATAGTGCCCCCTGCAGTTGTTAGAAAATCATTGCAGGTAAAGAAATTCCTTGTTTGTGTAAATGCTAAACTGAGTTGGTATGTAAAATTTAGCAAATTTGAGTTACAATTCAGAGTTACAATTTGTGACTTATGTACACAATTTTGTTAACTTAACTGTTCAATCATATGAAATAAAATACTTGAGAAAAGAAGTGATTTGTTTATGCATTTTTATTGAGGAGCAACAGCTTTTGTAGTGTCTTTGCTCCAAGGCGATTTCTCCTCTTTGATACCAGTTCCCCCGCCTTAGAAAATACTCTCTCACACGGCACAGATGAACATGGTGAGCAGAGACATTTCAGTGCAAGTTCATGAAGGTGTGGATACGCTCTTTTGTTGCTCTTCCAATATTGCAATGGGT